GGCCGGGCTCGGAGCACCTGGCGCGGGGCAGGGCCTCGCGACCCTGCTGCCCTCCGGGGAAGAAAGAAGCATCCTTCTGGAAGAGCTGCGAGGAGTTTGGGGGGTGGCTCTACCCCTCGGACACACTGAGCCCCTCAGGGGTACGAGCCCCCCGGCCTCTCCCTGCCGGCCTCCAGGTTGCCCTCCCAGGAAGGCACCGAAAACGCAAGTGGGCACGTTTCAGGATGGGGACAAGAGCCGGCTGAATCAGTGGTGCGGGTGAACAGGCCGTGCCCTAGGAGAGCGGAGCATGCCCCTCGAGCACAGCCTGCGCTCTCAGTGGCTTTCGTGCTCGGTGCCCCAGGGACAAGACGCAATTACTGATGTGATTAGGGAGTCCTCTGTGGCCACGGAAACCTCAGATCAGTGGATTTGGAAACATCTGAAGCCCCAGGGGTGGGTGGAGGGTGTTTGCCGGTAGCCGGGCCGCTTATGGTTCTGGACTCTCGGATTTGGAATTAGTTTGGGCTAATTTGGCCTCATACAAATTAAATTAAAAACAAAAAAAAGCCCTACCCTTGAAGGCTCAGATCAAGCGTAGTGGCTTCTTAACCTGGCAGGGGAAACACCATGTATCTGCGTCCGTGAAGGCAGTTTTCCTGCACCGCCCCACAGGAAAACTCTTGTGGCATGGTTCAGTACCTAGCAAGGTGCAGCGGCTTTAGGCCCAGTTTATGGAAATAGTCTTCCCCCTTTGCTTGCTCCAATGGCCTTGTGCCTGAGGTTAGGCAAAACTCAGGGGCACCCAAACCCCAAGCCTCTGGGCTTGGGCCTGCAAGTAGGATGCCCACCAAAGGATTTGAAAACATCTGAAGCCCCAGGTGTGGGTGGAGGATGTTTGCTGGTAGTAGGGCCACTCATGGTTCTGGACTCTTGAATCTGGAATTAGTTTTGGCTAATTTGGCCTCAGATACAAATTTAAAAAAAAAAAGGTAGTCCTATGCTTGCCAGGCAGGGGAAATACCATGATCACCAACAGTGGCTTCCTAGTTGCACCTGGGGAAGACCACTCTCCTGGCATGGGATAGTACCTGCATTGGTAATGCATAGCTAACCATGCCCACTTTATGGAAATGGGAAACTCCTCCCTCGCTTGCTCCTGGGGCCTTATGGCTGAGAGCAAGCAAAACTCGGGGGCATCCGAACCCCAAGCTGCAAGGCTTGTGCCTGCAAGTAGGATGCCTGCCAAAGGATTTGGGAACATCTGAAGCCCCAGATGGGGGTGGAGGATGTTTTGCCGGTTGTAGGGCCACTTATGTTTCTGGGCTGACTCTTGGATTTGGAATTTGTTTTAGCTAATTTGGCTTGGCATATGGAAGTTAAAAAACCAAACAAACAACTAACCAACTAATAGGACTTTGGGCCTTGTGGCATCCGTGATAGAGGAAAAACTCAATAACAGACTATCAATGACAGGGTCTCTTCTGTGAGTGAGTAAAGCCCTAGAACAGAGGAAGATTTCTCTGGCCTGCCAAACAGCAAGGCAGTCTAATAAATATTAAAAATAGTAAGCAGGAGGCAGGTGAGAACCAGGCACAGGCAGGTACAACCTGCATTTGGGGATTTACCTTAGGAACATGAGAATTGCCAGGCTGCACCAGATCTAAGGTCCAGTATCCTGTCTCCGACAGTGCCCAGCACATGACGATGCACAGAAAAGTACGTCAGCAGTGGGATGCCCCCCTCCAATGTTTCTTACCTCTATTTACCTTTCAGACAAATAGATACCTTGCAGATTAATAGTTTTCAACCTTTTTTTCATTTGTGGACCCCTAAACTTTTTTTTTATGGAGGTGTGGATCCCTTTGGAAATTTTGAATGGAGGTGTGAACCCCTTTGAATTGTAAGTGTGGGTATTCACATAGTTGTGATTGATCATAGCCATCTTTCATGGACCGCCTCGACAACCTGGGGACCCCCCAGGGTCAGTGGACCACACGTTTGACACCCACTGTTGTAGATAAATAGATAATGCACATTAATCTTGTGTCCTAAATTCATGCTCTAGATAAGGTTGAGTATAAACTAAACTTCTGATTCATTTCTGAAGGTTGGATAGGATCAGTGTGATGTAACCGTGATGGTCTGGGAATTACATGATAGGCAAGGATTTCTGTGAGTGATATCTTTTGTTGGACCAACTGCATGGCTGGAATAAAGTTTCTAAGCTTTTCATTTCTATTTTGTTGTTCAGATTTAGAGCCACCTAATTAGTTTCATCCTTGTTATGTTCATAACAGCTGTAAGGGGTGAATATCGACTTATATTTTGTGAATAAATCATTTCATTTACCTGACTGTAGACCTCATGGCCTAACTTTAGATACCTGATATTGTCAGTTCACCTCCTAGCTGCCCTTTTACCCAATACAAGGGATCTTAAGGTTCCTGATTAACAGGGTTTTTCAGCCTTGTAAATTAAATCATTAAATCAGTTCCCAGGCCATCCTGCTTGTCTGAGCCCTGAATGAGTGGAACCCACCACATATATACATACATTATATACATGCATGTACGTGTATATGTATGTGTGTCTCTGATGTTATGCTGCACTGTTTGTAATCATATCAGCTTTTACATCAGGGTGCAGGTGCCAAGGAGGCACGCAGTCCAGTGGAAAGGACCCCAGGTTGGGTCTCAGGAGACCTGGATTCTCTTTGAGGTTCTCCCCCTGACCAACTATGATACTGGGCAGATTACTTCACCACTGTGTTCACTCTCATCCTTTGACACCTAGTTATTTCTCCCTATGAAGGTACCTATACACTGTAATCAAGTCACCTCTCAATCTTCTTTTCTGATTAACTAACCAGATTGAACTCATCAGGTTTCTTCATATAGGCCAGGTTCTCCAGCCCTAAAGTCACTTCTGAAGCTCTGCATCATTTCCAGTGTTTCAGCATCTCTTTTAAATGGACACCAGAAGTGTCCAGCATTCAGGACAGCATTCCAATATCAACCTCACCAAAGGCATACGCTGAAGTAGCACCTCCCAACTTCTTTTCACTGCTCCCCTTTTTATACATTCAAGGGCTACGTTATTAATTCTTCACACTGGAAACTCCAGCACTAAGTTACATGTCCACTGTGACCCCTAAACTCTTTTCACTACTTTTCACTACTTTCCAGGAGACAGTTCTCACTTGGATACGTACAGCTTGAATTTCTTTTTCTGGCTTGTATCATGTTCCTTTGGACTGTATTGAAACACAGATGATGATCTGTCAGTTATTTCTTAATGCATTTAGAGTGTGCTTGTATTATATTGTATAGCACTAATTTTGTACTCAGTATGACATGTGGTACCAAGTCAAAAATCTGTTACAGCTACACAATTATCTTTATCAGCCAAACTTGTAAGCTTATGAAAAAAATGAAATCGCATTTGTTTGACAAGTCCCATTTTCCACAAGACTACATTGACTGGTATTACCATAATAAAATTCCTATCATGCAGCTTAATGGGGCCCTGGTCTTTCTTCAGGCTTCCTTGTCCTACTGAAAACAGTAATAAGAAGAAATGGGGTGGTTTGATGCTCTTTTGTTAGGAACATGCTTTTAAGGTTCTATTCCCTGCTTCCCAGAATTGGTTTCCCCTGCCATT